TTTAAAAATGTTTTTATACTAATAATGGTGGCGATCAGCGACTTATGGTGGCCATCAGTGACTTATGGCGGCAATCAGCAACCTATGGCAGGACTACGGGACTGCGGCGGACATTCTGACACTGGGGGGAACTGACTTGGGGTCACTGACATCCCCAGTGACACCAATACAGTGATCAGTGCAAAAAAAACCCCACTGACACTGTACTAATGGCACTGGGGAGGAAAGGGTTAACTTTTTTATTCACTGAAAGGGTTAACTGTGTGAGGGGAGTGTTTTACTAGGGGGCGGGGGTGTGTACTGCACGGGACACGCTGAATAAACTCTTCTCTCCCGATCGGCCTGTCAGGAGCTGTCAGGGAACTGACAGAAAGCAGAGCTACTGCAGCCCTGCTCTCTGTCAGTGATTGCCGCTAATTGGCGGGACACAGCCGGTAATGACCGGTCGTGACCCGGCGACTGACACCCGCGGCCGGGATCGGCGTTGCAGGTTGGGTGGCGACGCGCCTCATGCGCGACCCCTACCTATTTTGCAAAAGTGCATTTAAAACGTGCTTTTGCCCAGCCGTGCCACCCTGCCACCGTATTTCTACAGTGGCTTGGCGGAAAGTGGTTAATAGAAGCAATATGTCATGATAAGTACATCAAAGAGTGTGGTAGCCAGGACAAGGTAGGAGAACTGTCCACTCCTCAGGGAACAAGTAGACTTGATAAGGCGCATGCTCGCAAAATGCGTTGTCAAGGGTACCAGCTCGGCTTGTGTTCCAAGGCCAGGATCCGCTTTCCACCCTTTCCGAGGTCACGGTGACGTCACCTCTGGAACACCGCTGTAATCCCCAGCGATTCCAGCCACCTATTACAACAGGGTTTTCTCCAGGCTTGTGTTCCCTGAGGAGCGGACGGTTCTCCTACCTTGTCCTGGCTATCACACTCTGATGTACTTATAATGACATATTGCTTCTATTAAAAGTATAGCTCCTTGGGAGGTAAAAATGATTTACTATACTCTCACAGCGCTTTTTTTCCTGGACCTAATTTAAATCATGGAGACCTTCTTTGTTTTTACATCAAAAAGTGAGTTGCCAATTGTTTTTTAAAAAACTTTGCACATTATACTGCACTTAGTTCGGCGCCCTCTGGCATTCCATTTTATATACTGTAACGCCGCTGTTTAAAAATTTTGTCCAGCAGGACTTATCTGGGTCCCCCAATCTACACTAAGCCATGATATGGACATACAGTTGTGTCCAAAATTATTCAACCCCCAATGCTGTAAAGGGGTTTAGGGACTATAGTGTACATTTGGAATTGTATTCAGAATCAAATCCTACAAGGACGTTGTAACTACCCAAATGCAACTAAAATGACATCAATTGTTTATGTAATACAGTAGTAAATGGTTCTTATGTGGTTTCTTCATTGCCACAATTATTCAACCCCTTAAAGACTACCACTCTGAAGAACAGAGGTTCATACAGGTGCTTTCCATCAGGTATTGAAAACACCTGTGGATGTCACCGAGCAGCAATCAAGCATAATAAGCACCAATTAGGCAGCTTTAAAATGACTGTGATACTCAGCTCCTTCTAGACATTTACTGGTGTGGTTACAAACATGGTGAAGGCAAGAGAATGGTCCAGGAAGACAAGAGAAGAGGTGATTTCTCTTCACAGGAAGGGCAATGGCTATAAGAAGATTGCAAAGATGTTAAACATACCAAGAGACACCTTAGGAAGCATCATTCGCAAATTCAAGGCAAAGGGCACTGTTGAAACGCTACCTGGTCGTGGCAGAAAGAAGATGCTGACTTCGACTGCTGTGCGCTACCTGAAGCGTAGAGTGGAGAGAAGTCCCCGTGTGACTGCTGAGGAACTGAGAAAAGATTTGTCAGATGTGGGTACAGAAGTTTCAGCCCAGACAATAAGACGCACACTGCGTAATGAAGGCCTCCGTGCCAGAACTCCCAGGCGTACCCCCTTGCTGTCTCCAAAGAATAAGAAGAGTCGACTGCAGTATGCCAAAAGCCATGTGGACAAACCACAAAAGTTGTGGGATAGTGTTCTGTGGACTGATGAAACAAAATTAGAACTGTTTGGGCCCATGGATCAACGCTATGTTTGGAGGAGGAAGAACAAGGCCTATGATGAAAAGAACACCTTGCCTACTGTGAAGCATGGTGGAGGGTCAATCATGCTTTGGGGCTGTTTTGCTTCTGCAGGTACAGGGAAGCTTCAGCGTGTGCAAGGTACCATGAATTCTCTTCAGTACCAGGAGATATTGGATGGAAACGTGATGCAGTCCGTCACACACCTGAGGCTTGGGAGACGTTGGACCTTTCAACAGGACAATGATCCCAAGCATACCTCCAAGTCCACTAGAGCATGGTTGCAGAGGAAAGGCTGGAACATTTTGGAGTGGCCATCGCAGTCACCAGACTTAAATCCGATTGAGAACCTCTGGTGGGACTTAAAGAAAGCAGTTGCAGTGCGCAAGCCTAAGAATGTGACTGAACTGGAGGCCTTTGCCCATGAAGAATGGGCGAAGATACCCGTAGATCGCTGCAAGACACTTGTGTCAAGCTATGCTTCACGTTTAAAAGCTGTTATAACTGTAAAAGGATGCTGTACTAAGTACTAAGATTGAATGTCACTTGGGGGTTGAATAAAACTGATAATGCTGTGAGCACAGAAAAGACATTTGTGGTTATTTCATTATAACTGTTATGTTATATTTGTCTGACCTACAAGTGCCTCTTTAATGTAAATGTAAGCAAGATGACTGAATGATCAAAAGCAATGTCAAACTGGCCAAAACACTCAATTTCAGTGGGGGTTGAATAATTTTGGACACAACTGTATGATTTGGCTGGTTGGACCTCCTAGTATTGTTCTCCTAATGATAAATTAGAGCCATTCTCCATACAACTCACTTGTAAATTTGCTAACATTTTTGCCAGAGCTTGCCCAACAGTCAGTTAGTGCCTGCAGAAATGATTTACTGCTCTGTGATAGCTTTATTAACGCTCATCTTTCCTGCGTACATTTTAATATTATATGGGACAGCCTTGAGCTGGATATTGGAGAAAGTACTGAAAATAATTGCTCCCCATAGATACTGTTACCTGCAACTCATAAGTAAAATCATGACATCTAGTGGTGTTGGTGGAAATTTTAGCATAATGGATTTGGTTAGTTCAATATGTTTAGAAGGCGAATAATGAAGGGAAGAAATGTGAAGAAAAGTGGCAGAAATTTCAGGGAAAAAAAAACATATTTACCAGGTGTTTTAGAGAAATTATGCTTAGCTGTAGATTCATTTTTCAGATGTTTTCTAGTCCATCATTATGAAGCAGTATGCAGTTTAATATTTGTTTTTTAATGTGTGAATTGTTTGAGAACTTTGTAGTTTAAAATACATAAATGAATTCACTAAAAAATGGATAATGTTAGGGACTGCTGCAATCACATTTCTTGAATGAGCTATTAAGATCCATTAGCAAAGTGCAGTAGGCACTGCCAATTTAAAGTGGAACTAAAGACAAAACTTTTTTTTGTTTCATTTTGAATAGTGTATAAGAGCGTTATAACCCGTTAGTTTTATTTTTCCACCTGTGCCCTGGTGGGGATATTTTCATTCACTTCTGGTTCCATTCTCATTGGAAGATTTCCCCTCTATTCTTTTTTTAGTGTCAGCCCAAAGTTTGGGATTTTCTCTTACTTTAACTCTCAATGATAACTGTAAACAGGACAGATAGAGAAGGTAAATATCCCCAATGAGGGCATAGAGAGTAATAAAAACCTGACAAGATTTCTAATCTTCCTCCACTCTATCCGAAACTAAATCTGTTTTTGAATATCAGCCCATCCCAAGGGTTTTTTTGTTCAATGTTAACTTGATACACTACTGGCATTTTTATTTTGTGGTTCCTTCCAAATATTTGGAAATTGGATGCTACAGAGCACTCCAAAATGTCCAATTATTGCTTGTGTCATGTATAGTTGTTCCATGTGTGATCTGGGGGATTGTCATCTCATGCCGTAGATGCATTTTTAGTAAGTTTTGTGTCCGTCCAAACTGTTTTTAAGGGCATGGCAGTTTACTTTTATTGAAAACAAAGTCCAGAAACATAGATTTCCACACAAGGGTTCTTTAACATTTAACATTCATTTGAATGGACTCGTGTGCCCGTGACACGCAGGGAAGAAGTCCTTGCACTTCTTTTGAAAACACAGCCTGCACGGGAACCTCGGTTCCCGGTATGGTTGTGTTTTCCAGTGCAGAACTAATGGTACCACACCGCGGGTCCGCATTTCTCTGTGCGGATGGTGTGGCTGCACAGATTTTCATGTGGATCCGCAGTGGCACCACCCGCACATATGTGAACCTAGGGTTATGGTTAGCATAGATCTTAGTATCTGAATGACAGATAAAAGTGAAAGCAGATGTCCAGATGAGAACTTTCTAGCACAGCAATTTCCAGTACTGATTATAAAGTACCCAGGTAATTGAAAGGTTCAGAGCCTGCTTCTTCTCTCCATAAGTCCTCTAAAGTGCCCATTTTCTACTGCTGATATATTTAAATCATATTGTTTTGATTATATAAATGGGGGACAGCACCAACAGTTCCTATACAGCAGTACTGCAGAGGCTTCCATTCTCAGGACCACAGAGATTACTAGCTACTTCTACCAAGCTGACATCCACAGTTCTATGGCTAGATGTTGGGCAATCTCTTTTGTGGAGAATGGTCATGATTTGTTTTGCCCCCTCCCCCAGCCCAAAACTTATGAATGGTTATTATTTCAAGTAACATACAGTAAGTAATGTAACTAAAATGATCATATTTGATTTTTTTCAATGGCCTTCCTTACAGTATAAAGTTTGCCACAAGCGGTAAAAAATATAGAAGGCGTACACATGTAGACACAGCTCACAATGAAAAGTTGAAATCATTTTTATTGTAAGTGAATATATTTTTTGAGCACATGATGTACAGCTGGTTAAGTGGAGTTTACTACCAGAAGTTTCTGCATGTATGAGTTGAGCCACTTCTGTCTCTCCATTGCAGTGAGCATTTTGCTCTTCTCTCTGAAAGCAGCATCGTCAGCCACCACAATGCTCCTTTTATCCAGCTCTTCATTTGCAGGCCATGGAGGAAGCCACCTCTGATCAGACATTTCACCGTTGAGCTCAGCGTCATCTGGCATTACCTTTTTGGTTATCTCATTAGAGCCAAACAGTATCTGCCTTGCGATGGGCTGCAGGAGTAACTTTCTGGCTCTCTCATCGGTGGGTTCATTGGGGAGAACATTTGATGTTAACATTTTAAGACTCCAGTTGTGCAATGATATAGAAGGGAGCTGCTGTTTCCAGGAGTCTGGCTCAGACATAAAGGGATTTATCTGTTTATTACTAATCGACTGGTCAGAAAGATCTCTTCTCCAAAGTCTAGAAGAACAGAATAATAAAATGCATTATTCATATTTGTGGTTAACATGCAACAATAATGTACAGTATCTCACAGAAGTGAGTACACCCCTCTCATTTTTGTAAATATTTTATTATAACTTTTCATGTGACAACACTGAAGAAATGACACTTTGCTACAATGCATAGTAGTCAGTGTACAGCTGGTATAACAGTGTACATTTGCTGTCCCCTCAATATAACTCAACACTGCCATTAATGTCTAAACCGCTGGCAACAAAAGTGAGTACACCCCTAAGTAACAATGTCCAAATTGGGCCCAATTAGCCATTTCTCCTCCACAGTTTGCTGAAGACAAGCAGACTAAGGACGTGGATTACAGGAACCATGTCCTGTGGTCTGATGAGACCAAGATAAACTTATTTGGCTCAGATGGTGTCAACCGTGTGTGGCGGCAACTAGGTGAGGAGTACAAAGACAAGTGTGTCTTGCCTTCAGTCAAGCATGATGGTGGGAGTGTCATGGTCTGGGGCTGCACGAGTGCTTCCGGCACTGGGGAGGTACAGTTCATTGAGGGAACCATGAATGCCAACATATACTGTGACATACTGAAGCAGAGCATGAGTCTCTAACATCCACCAGCTCCGTGATGTCGAGGAGTGGAAGAGGACTCCAGTGGCAACCTGTGAAGCTCTGGTGAACTCCCTGCCCAAGAGGGTTAAGGCAGTGCTGGAAAATAATGGTGGCCACACAAAATATTGACACTTTGGGCCCAATTTTGAAATTTTCACTTAGGGGTGTACTCACTTTTGTTGCCAGCGGTTTAGACAGTAATGGCTGTGTGTGTTGAGTTATTTTGAGGGGACAGCAAATTTACATGTTATACAAGCTGTACACTCACTACTTTACATCGTAGCAAAGTGTCATTTCTTCAGTGTTGTCACATGAAAACATATAATAAAATATTTACAAAAATGGGTGTACTCACTTCTGTGAGATACTGTATGTATGTAAGGTATATTAGATGATATGTCTCCATGTTTTAGATCAATATACCGTTTGCACTTAACTAAACAACACGTAGTCTCAATGTTAAAGGGAATGTATTGTGGTTTTGCACATTTATTTTTTTTTATTCTGGACAATGCTAAAATACTTTAGGCACCGCTGGACAACCACAGAGTAAGCCCCACTGCTGACCATGCTGAGCATGCTAATCACACTGAATGTTACAGTAGCATTGATCAATGCTGCTTCTATACATGTTTGTCAATGCATCTATGTTTTACAAAAAAGAACACAAGGAACAATTACAGTTCACAAGACAAACCAATCAACAAAAAAATCAATGTTTATTTTAATGTAAGAAATTTGTAGATTTTTATTGCATGAGGTTGTTGAACTGCGCTCCTTCTTTTTTTTCTAGTATAAGTATGAAAGATTGCATATTAATATTTTCCATTTTCTTTTGTAGGTTGAATTTTTGGCTCTATTTTACATTTTTATCTCTATTTCCTTACTTGCTTACAGTAATCTTTAGGCATTTAAGTAAACCTTTTTTTGGTTTGGAAAGAGTAGGGAAAAATTAGAACCCCTGTCAATTTTCTGTGGCTTGTTTATTAAACAAATACAAAAAGGTTTAGAGAGTCAAACCTCCAATAAACATATGTAGCACCCTCCTAGGTAGCTAGAGGGAGGTAGATGATTATTTTTAGTTAGAGGCTGAACAGCAGCCCGGTGGTATAGTTAGAGGGAGTCAGATTTCGATTAAGGTTGAGATGCTCTGCAGACCAGCTCTCTGGAACTTAACCCTGATCTAGAGACTTGGAGGAGTCTCTAGAATTCAGTGGAAAGGGGTGAGGAGTGGCTGGTCTGCACTCTCAAGGGATCCTGGCCAATCCCCAAGCAGGAGGCATGGCATGGGGTCAGGACAGCCCTTAAGAGTCACCAAGCATGCTCAGCAGCAGGAGAGTTCAGGTGGAAGATAGAGTGAGCAGGATGGAGAAAGCAGCTTTGGAGGGGGACAAGGAGAGGGGGACTATCTACAGGCAGAGGAGCTAGAAGGGAGGATATCTCAGCCTCACCAACCCCTGAGACAGGACAGCCTGGGAAGCAGGGAAGGAGCAGGCCCAGCTTAAGGCCTGAAAGCAGCCACCAACCCACAAGCTTGCAAGAGAGACTCAGTGAGTAACCCCACACACTCTGGGCCGGATAAGGGGAAAGGGCATTTAGGTGGGAAACCTGACTAGCCCCCATCTGGGACTGCTTTCATTTAATTTGGTGGCTTCTGGGACATCTTGGCCAGGGATTCCCTCAGGCAGCTGGGTGAAGAAGAGATTTATCTGGGGTCTGAAGAGGGACACAAGGAGAGGCTGGCTAGCTCTCCAAGAAAAGAAGAGAAAATACTTCTGACTACTTGTACATAGATCCAGGAAGTTGTCCTCAATTTTACAGTTCCTTGAGCATCCCATGTATCCTTTATCCCCATCCAAGTTATCATCCCCTCCCTAATAAAATTGAAAAAACAAAGTTCAAGGACTGTTTACTGTCTCTGGAATGCAAGCCTGGAAGGAAATGTGTGTTGCCAGGCTGTGCAGGACTATAGGGGGACCCAAATCTTCAGCAATTCCTAAGGGGGTTAATGCTACACATATATAAAAAGTGATAAACTTTTTAGGATCAGCAATAATATCACCGATAGTGCACAATATTCAAGCCCACAATAACCTTTTAAATAGAAGACTCTATTTTAAAACCTTTCACTGGCCCATCAATATAAAAATATATGCTGTATACTGATCACCATGTAGTTGTCTGCATGTGAACTGCAATAAAGAATCATGTGGTTGCTATAAATCTAAAATCCACATTAGAGTAGCAGAAGAGCAAGACAATTGCTTTTATTTCTCTCAATGCTTGCTGAGTTATTAATAACAGCATAAACCAATTGTCCAACAACTATTTTTTGCCACATTCACTAAACTAAAGGAAAATTCCCTTGCAAAGTGAAAAATTCCCCTGCAAAGACAACAGTCTATTTAACTTTAGTAAATCAACCCCACTGTATATTAGTCACCTAGTCTTGTAAACATCAATTTCTTAGGAAGCACCTGCTTACTCTCATGTTGGTCAGTGTTCAATATCCAAAGATTGTGTTGAAATCCTTTAGGTAAGTGTGTGCACTTTTCAACTGTCTGCCTGATGAAATAGTAGTTAAAGCAGTTATAATACCATAGCAAACATGTATTAATATTGCAGTTTACCAGTTCTTAGATGTAGTGGCTGCATTAGTTTTCTTTTTTATTTTCTTTCTTTTATTTTCTTCTGGTGATCCTGCCAGTAAGTCTGTTGTTTTTTAACAGAACAATCTGACCTGTGGATGTACCAGTGAGAAGGTTGAGACAGATCATTTACCACTGACAGAGTTGTGTTTAATGATTAGCTGTTATCTATTTATGTAAAACCTTTATTCCAAAAGGAACAAAACTGTTGCTCTAACTACTTATAAAGTGTTAGCTGGAGTTTAGCGTCAATTTATTTAGTGTATCTAAATCTGCTAGTACATCTAACACTCCCCTCTTCCCAGACTGGCAATACTTCTTTCCAAAGGTGTTTCTGTTGCTCCTTCATACAGAGTGTAAGAAACTCTTATACAGGAGGTATGTTACTGGCCAGCTCACCAAATGGAAGGAAAAAAAATCTTAAAATGTCATTAAACCCACATTATTAAAAACTATCAATAAATGCTTTATTATATGTTGTTCATACTCACTCAGATTTGTTTTCTACATTCTGCAAAAAAACTGGTTAAAATTGCTGTTCTCTGTCTCCCTCTTCTGTCCTTGTCCCCACTGCAATTGGGGATTTTACAGAGCAGTTTTGGCAGCTAGTGTATATGCTCAGGTTTCAGTGTATTTTCTTCCCTGAGCATTCCCTCCCACATCTTACTTACTCCCTCCTTCCTCTTCCATGCCCTCTAACCAGCTAAACACAATGGGGGATGGGATATTATATCTTCATTGATGGAGGCTTCACCTCCCTGTTAATCTAAGACACAGGGTGGAAGGATCTGACTTAGCCTGTGACTGACAGAAATTCACCCGCACCATGTTATTGCCAAAAATTAACAAAGATTTTATTTCAAATAGATACTTGTATGTCAATTTAAAACAGTTTATTGATAGTATTTTTGCTCTGTATTCCAAAGGCTTTTTTTCATTTTAAACATGTGACCAGCAGCAGAGGAGTAGAATCTCCTCCTGCCACTTTTTCCCTGCAGACAGATTGGGAAAGAGCTGGGTCATGTGACAGCTGTGTATCAATTAGGAAAATGGTAGTTAGATTTTTTAAATTAAAATCCAGTGCCATCATCCACATAGAGAAAGAGAAGAGTAATTAAAGAAGAGAAGAGGATGTAACTGTAAATTAGTTTCTTAATAAGATTTATTTTTTGAATATTAATTAATTATCTCTTTATTTCTAAAATATGATTTAAGTATATATTGTTAGCAGTAAATTAAATATCTATAAGGTTGTCATTAAGCTTGACAGAGAAGGCTGACTATCAAAAGATGAAAAGTTTTGTAGATAATCTTTGAGTAGTAAAAATTCTAATGCAACTTCTACCTATCAAACCATAAAAGAAACCACAAATATATAATTAGTAATAGCATGGAGAATGGATGGATAATGAAAAAGAAACCAATAGTAAACAGCAATATTAATTAATTTGGGGTATATGTACTGTACATTGATATAATTATGATCTGTGGCTATCATGTCATCATCAGCTCCTTGTGTCCAAAAAAATAATTTCAAATGTTTGTAATGCAGTGGATACCTTTAATGTATATTTTTTAGGTTATGTGTTGCAGGTATGACTTCTAACATTAAATTGTTTCCATTAAAGTGGAAGAAAGGGCTATGCAATAATCCATCTTTTAAATATTGCCTCCACAATGCTTTTATATTAGCTGCATACATGTTGTAATAAATCTGTTATTATCTTTTTTAAATCTTTTTTCAAAGTTCCAGGAAGAGTCTGTCTGTGCAGGGCCAATAATGCAGCTGAATCCTTAAAGTAGTGTCTTCATTTCACCAACATCCATAGCTCTGCCAGTGATTTGCAGTCACGTGACTGCTGTTGCAAAGTCTTTCCTTTCCTTCCTTCTATAGATGTCATCAGGCAGATGAAGCCATACTTTTACAATATCTGTGGTCTCCTCCTGACTCTTAGTCCTTAGGACCACTACACTGCCTCAGCTTGGTGGGTATGTCAACCTCTTAGGATTTGAAAAAACCAGCAGGGTTGGAATTCTCGTTGACTATAGCAGTAGCAAGGTAGTGGTGGTGGGGGTAAGGATTTCAGGTATGGTGTCTCAGAATGATTCATAGTACTAGACCCCATACAGAGCTGAACTGATATCAGTTTTGTGAGGTCTGATCAGCAATACCATGTGTGTCCCCTTCCCTTATTTTCTTCTGCTTCAATGCCTATATAATAACATCTGAACAGGAGCTCAATACAAGTTTTTTCTTGTTGGATCCCACTTTTACTCAGCTTCCTTAATATGAAGTGGAAACCTTATCTACCCAAATTGTAGGAAAAAAGCAATAATTTGCCCGTTACCTGTTTGGATTCCGAATGGTGGTGATTATGGCTGGAGAAGACAACACAATGCAGTACCCCAGAAGGACTGTGATCCGAAAGAAACTTCGCCCAGCAGTTGTTTTTTTTCCATGCCCTGTGCAATGTCACTACAAAGCATTAAATATTTTCATGTTATATCATGTTATAATGTGATACATATTATACACTGATCTCTGTGTATATTATATGGACATAAGTATCACTCAACCCCCAGAGGAACTCTGCCCAATTATGCACTGTGCTTGAGTGTTTTCTTCTGATGTCTCTTTAATGTGGAATCTGTAAGATAATTATATTTTCTAACTTTTCCTCACAAGTATTACACAGATATAATACTGCATTTAGATGGGGGTGCAGTATATAATAAGTGGTACCTGTATTTTAGGGCTAAATTGACTTTAAAGCAGAACTGCTGTTATGTGTACTTGCCCCAAATGCTGTCTGAATTCAGTAACTCCCAAGAACTTACCTGTGAGCTAAAGAACTCTCTTCCAAAAAGCATAATGATTGCTCCCTCTGGCCTAAAATGCAGCTAAGGAACTGGACATGTGTAAGAGGCATTGATTGGCTGCTCAGGATCCATTGGCATCAATACTTTTTATGTAACTGACCCTGTACAGGAATGCACACCAGCAGCTCCGACTTTGCTTTGACTATATAATATGCCTCCTTGTTCTAGGCAACCTGCATTTTCAAAGAATGACAGCCCACCATTCTTAGCATGGTACAGGTTTAAAATAGTATTGCATTTGTTACATACAACAAAAATCTTAATCTCATTTCTTTTGGAAAAATAAAGTGTTAGCAGTTTGAAGTGTCCACCACTTTACACTTGTAAATTAGACTTGTATTGTCTATGCAATATGAAGTACAGCAAGATAATAGTGTGCAAAGTACATTATCTCATAGCACCAAATCACATAATATTGAATTAATTTAGAGCACAAACAATGAAAGATGCTTACTGATTCGTTGCTGTGGAATAACACACGTCTACAATGCTCCTCAAAAGTAATTTTTTTTTTTAACCTTAGAACTTTACTTCTTTAGTATGTTTTGTACACCTTTTAGCAGCCAACAATATTTCATGTGAACCACTTTTAAATGTCTAAATTTGCAAAACTGTACATTAATATATTTGCCAAACCTGATAATTATTCTATTATTAAAGAGTCAAAACAATCAAATCTATCAATTAAATTTTTTAGAGCTATTCACCCTGAGGTCATCAAAAAGGACAAGGGGGCACCCTTTACGTCTGGAGGAAAAAAAATTTAATCTCCAAACACGGAAAGGTTTCTTCACAGTGAGAGGTGTGAAAATGTGGAATAGACTCCCTCAAGAGTTGGTTCTGGCCAGCTCAGTGGATTGCTTCAAAAAAGTCCTGGATTCTTTCCTAGATACACAGAATATAACTGGATACTAACATTTATAGGTAAAGTTGATCCAGGGAATATCCGATTGCCTCTCGGGGGATCAGGAAGGAATTTGTTTCCCAGCAGGAGCAAATTGGATCATGCTTTGCAGGGTTTTTATTTGCCTTCCTCTGGATCAACTGTGGGTATAGGATTATAACTTTTTTTTCTATGGTTGAACTGGATGGACTTTTGTCTTTTTTCAGCCAGACTAACTATATGTACATGGTAATGAGTTGAGTCACCCAGCAACAACATTTTATCTTGGATGCTCAAAATGTTCCCACCAAAGTTCTTTGTTCTTCCCTGCCTTGTATTTGTACCTTTTCTGCTGATTTTCCACCTTTTCTAATGGGAGATTCACCCCTCCTCCAAAAACAAATCAAACCCAGTTGAGAGACTGAATCCCATTTGGATCTCAGTCTCCATTTAGAGGATCTTGAAATGCTGAGATATTGTCAATTTAATATCTGAATGATGTTAGGTATTTTGGATAGACTGACGCTTCAACTTTTATTTGTAAAATTAAAATATTTAGAAGGTTTTAAAAGGTTTCAATAACTCATAAGAAGTTTGTCAGTAGTTATTATAAAGGCAAAGAAATACATGGAAATTATTCATTAATTTTACACAGCACAGGTTGTCTACTACTGAGTATATAAGCAAACAGGCTTGCTATGGTTGTTTTATAATGTAATACACTTCTATGGGTATGAAAAGGGAGCAGTCAGCATGATGCTATAACTTGTCAGATAAAATTTATATTTACAGTATATTATAGTGTATATACAGTATATATATGTGTGCTGTATATTATAGTATATATCAATATATCACAGCTATTTTCACACAGAATCCTAAACAGATTACAGCAGGTATCTTTTAGGCAATTTTGGCATGAATAATATGGAATGCACACAACATTATAAGCAGCCCAAATATTTGTAATTATGTTAAAATAGACAACTTGTGATTTTTACATTTTATAAAGAGTGAGACCACCTAAAAGTAATATTTTTATTATAAAAAGTTTAGACTGATAGGCTTAATCAATCTCTAGCTTTTTATATGCCTTTTAATACTTTACTTGGGAGATCTCCCTGTCATTGTTCCTGGCTCTGTTCATGTTCACCTGTAGGTTCAAGGTGCTGCCCCCCCCCCCCACTGTTGGTTGTTCCATCATCTGCTGGTGCATTCTCCATATTACAAAACAAGTGGAAAACCCAACAGGGAGAGTGGGAACCTTCCCAATGACCACAGGCATCTACAGAGCCTGAAACTCTTAGCAGAGAGATCCTGCCAATAGAATCCCCAAGGGATATAATATTAAAAAGGATACAAGTCAGTATCTTTGTTCTCCAGTATCTACCAAACACTAACATTTTTAGCAGGTTTATTTTATCATCTGAAAAGCAAATATTCATTAAATAACTTTCAAATGTTTAGCTTCATAACATTAGCATCAGTGTACCATTTTCTTGCAAGAAATTTTAATTGATGTTACATGTACATTTTTTGCACAAGTTTTAATAATAAATGTTGTACCTTTCCTTCTAAGTAATAGAAACATATAAAATTATGTAGTACAAATATACAATAGTATTAAGTATTATTAGTTTCGTATTGAAAAATCTGGGTTTACCTGAATAGTCTATCTTTATCTTCTTCACTTTTTGTCTTGAGGAGCCTCTAAGAAGTGCAATGATTTTTTTTCTAACTACACCAGCTCCTGTTTTCATTTATATACACGCAAATATGATGCCGAAATGACGCAAATTTCTTTTTTGTTTCCTTATGTGAAAAATTGACTATGTCACCTCTGCCCATAAAACTCACGGGTCTCTTCGATAGCTCTTCAACATCTATTAGTCTGAGGCCTCGTGTCGAGACATAAAGGAGGAGGCAAGAGGAAGTGGATATAGTTACTTTATTGGTTGCCTTTATATCTTTAGCACAGCATATACTGTAAAATGGTTAAACTGGACACTTTAATGAATTGAATAATGACATGCAAAAATTAGGTGAGTCTTCTCTGCAAAGCCTCAGGATCGAGACTGGTGTCAGGACTGCAAGTGAAGAATCCAATATTGTTGGTTTTAATTCAAAGTCAGCAGAAACAATGGACCTCTTGCTTAACCCACCTCCTCCTTATTCTCTTCCTGTTGTCTTATATTTAATTCTACAATATCAAATGTCCAGGAAACTCTATGACCTGATGTGTTGGGGTTAAGGGTGACCTTGTTAAAAATGTAGCGCCGATGGTCTAATTGTTTATGGAACAAGAGCCATCGTTAGCTTGTTAGCTGCTTGGAGCCTAGACATGAGTCACCAGCCTTTCTGACAGATGATGTGACAACAAGACGTAAAATAATGGCTGCCCTTGTTCTTGAATTTTCCTATCATTAGAGAAGCAAATTTTAAGAATAACGAAGTTTATTTGCATGGCAAAAAGTTTTTCTTATCTACTTGAACATGACTTTGTTCTGAAAGAGAAATTTGGTGCTCATAAACAATTTTGTTAGGATTTATGAAACTTGGGGTAGTTATGTGATAGCTGCAAACCCAGAAAACACCTATAGCAAAGTTTTGTTGAAGAGAGGCTGTCAATTGAGTTTTGTTTTTGTATACTGGCTATTGTTCTCAATATATAATAAATATAATACTGTGTCCAATTCTGGAGACCTCACTTACAAAAAGATAGAACGAGTCTAGAGATGGGTAACAAAAATGGTGAAAGGTCTAGGGGCTAAAACTTATCAAGAGCGACTTCAGGAACCTGATATGTACAGTCTGTAGCTAAGAAGGGAAAGGGGAGACATGACTGAAACTTTTAAATACATCAAGGGGGTGAATAAGATTCAGGAGGGCAGTATTTTCAACAAACAAAAAATAAAAAACTCGGGGACATGACCTTAAACTAACTGGAGGAAAGTTCAAACCTAATCTCAGAAAGTATTGTTTTACTGAAAGAGTAGTTGATGCTTGGAATAAACTTCTGGCAGAGGTACTGAGCCATTGAACAGTAAATAGATTCAAACATGCCTGGGACAAGCATAGATCTATACTCAGACAAAAAAGCTAACAAAAAAAAAAAACAAAAACAAAAAAATGGGTGGACTCGAAGGACCATTCGGTATTTTTCTGCTGTCACTTTTCTATGTTTCTATAACAGCAGCAGTCAGAGTATTTATAACTGACAGAAATATATATGGACACACAGTTTACATTATTATTTGAAGGGAATCTTCTGCATTTTGAATTATTGTTTCATTATAGCCATTTGATCTTGGTGATTATATATAGACTGCATATGGCCCCACTGGAAAAAAATGTCTTAGACTAGACTACAAAATTCATGTATATTTTACTTAAAGCTGAACAACCTAATACACAGATAAAATACATACAGTGAAGCTATTTTTATCAGCTAAAAGATTTGAATTTCTGTCCATTCAGTCCTGAAACTAAAGCTGGCCATACACAGATCAAAATTCGACTGGTCCAGCAAGAGAATTTTGATCAGTGTTTTAGCTCCCCTGCTCGATGGAAATCAAAAGGACATGTTGGTAAATTTTCCTTTGATCAGCTGCTGTAGCCATTCAGCTGCAGATTAGTATATACAATTTCCTGGCAGAGGGGATTCCTCGATCCATCTTGTTTGTGTGTATGGTCAG